AAAACCGTATCTTCTTAAAATAGCTTGGTTTTGTACGTATATTTGTTTTATTAAATATGTGTAGCTTTATGCGGTCAACATTTCTCTCCAGGAATAAAAGCAATCATGAAGATTGTGGCACACAATTAAAAACTGTCGTTTATTAGTGTTGTTATTACTGGTAATATAATTGAAACATTATTATTTTAGTAATTTCGCATTATTTTTAAATTCGCGTTTTTAAATTCTACATGCAATAAGCTTAATTTCTGGTTCGATGAATAACGCAGAAATTTAGTCCACAAATCTATAGAATTCAAAATTTAAATTCACAAAACATAATATATCTTGTTTAGAAAAGTCATATTCTAAAAACAGATATTGCAAACTCCATGCCATTATTTTAATTTTCATTTGAACTGAAGGATTACATCAACTAATATTTCAATTCATTGAAAAGGGACACACAAATCCTACTAAAAGATATGTCTTGCATCATGTACAGTTTATACAGTGCTTGAGAAATAAGACGTGTCAATATAGGTGTGTACAACTAAATAAACTATCAAAATAACTCTAACAGTGCTTATATTTAACCTTAATGTTACATTGGGCAAATATTGCAATAAAGTGGTCAATACTGAGGCTATAATTGTAGCTAGCCTAAAATTTAAAATAAATAAAATAAAACTTTTAACAGAATAAAATAAGTTGCGTATTTGGGTTTAAAAGTGCCTTCATTTCGCGTGTTTATGGTTTTCACCGTTCTTAAGCAAAATGAAAATGATTGTAGGAAAAGATTTATCCAAATGATACAAACTCGTCTTTAAAAACAGTATATCAACATCGGAGCGTTTCACTCATCTTTGCATCTCCGAGTATGGTAGTCATCCGCCAGCAGAGTTAGTACCAACCTGTTGGAAACCAGATGCTGTGGCTTTTTTGTCCTCGATCTTATGATTCGGAGATATCTGAAGTTTAAGTTTTTTTTCCAAGTGCTCCTTTGAGTTTGTAATTTTCTAACAATGCGTTTCTATGGCCAAGTTCTGATTATAATAAAGGGCAATTCTTAATTCCATGTCTCTTTCCAAATGAACCACTTATAGACCACTCCATGTTTCATTTTGGTCAGTTTACTTTGTTTCTCTTCGTTGCATTAAGTCTTCTTTGTAATAATGCTGTCACATCACACAGGGTTTGATGTCCTGATATGAAATCTGCTGATGGTGGTAGTAAGAGCTGCTCCCTGGTGAATGCATCGATGAAGAGGTCATGGCGTTAAAAGAGAAGACAAATTCTTTCCTGTCACACATGCTGGGAGATTGGGAATGGTAGCGCGGTAGACCTGCGGGGACACAAAATATGGCACATCATATATATATATATATATATATATATATATATATATATATATATATATATATATATATATATATATATATATATGTGTTGTAGTGCTCTTGACATTTTAAACCCCTAACTATAATTGTTACTACCACTACTGCAACAGAAATTATGAAAAAAATGTTTATGAGTTACACATTAGCCTGTGACATTCAGTCGTTCATTCAATGGGAAAATATTTCTGTATCTTGTAAACATTTACAATCGTAAAGAATATCAAACTCCAATCCACATAATTGTTAATTTTTGTTAGAGAGGGAGAGACAGAGATTTTATAAACATTTCTTGAAGGTATTATACAGGAATATAGACATACTTTCGATAACTTTAACTTTTTAACAATTTTAATTTTCTTTATAACTAGCCTACATAATGTAGACATACATGATAATTATATATATATATATATATATATATATATATATATATATATATATATATATATATATATATATATATATTAGTATTAAAATAAGGCGTCGTCACCATATCATTTTGGCCTGTCAACACATTGTTAAGCGTCATTATTAAGTTTTTAAGTTTTCGTAAACTGTTTTAAATGGCTTTTGATTATAGTACGTTTTTTTTCTGATAATGCATTGGAGTGCTGTGAGAGACCTGGAAGAGACCTGAAGTCTTAAGATCTGGGTGGGATCGTTTTTAAATCACTGCGTGCACGCGATTCCCCACGGACACATTGAGGCTGGGCTCGTGGCGTGGTTCTCCTTGCTCTTGCCCCAGTAGAGATTACAGCAATCGGGCTGAAATCGCTTCTAATTGCATGTGCAGAATTATGTCAGTAGGTGAGCGAGAAGCTTATAAAGACTGATGACAAATGATCAAGAAAAAAAGCATGGATAAACTTTTAATGTTTTGCTAAAGTGAAATTTTGATCACACTTTGCATTACTGCTCCCATGTTATGCGAATTCACAAAAATGAACCTTAAGGTTCCCCCACAGTTGCAATTTCCAGGAACCTCAAAAGGTTCATTTTTGAACCTTTTCTTCTTAGAGTGCAGTTTCTCGACAAAATACACGAGCATTGATGGAAAAAAATTTGCCCAGCTCATTAATTGAATAATGCATAATTGTGCAAATGTTTATGTCGTTATATGTGGCATAACTTTAGCTGGACTGTTGGCAAGACATTAGCTTCAGTTGTGTTGTTTTAAAAATTATCAAGTAATACCTCTCACCAATTCATGAAATAAAACACATAGCCTATAACGTGACAGAATATTTCTGTTAAATATTTCTGTCGGGGTCGTATCATCTTGAAAACTTTACCTTGAAGGTCGGTGTTGCCGTGGCCGTTCTGGTGCAGGTAGGACTGTTCCAGAGAGTGTGTGGGTAAACTGGGCTGCAGTGGATTGGCTCCCGGGTTACACGGAGAGAGCGGCTGCTGTTTGATGTAAGACGCCCCGTTATTTAGAGAGGCTGGGGGCGCTGGAGGCCAGGCCGAGGCCGTGCTAGAATACACCGCATGCGGCTCCATCACTCCCCCGCTGGCGAGAAGTGGCGATGCAGAGTTGTCATGATGGGGGTACTCACCCCCTGAGGATCCCGTGCAACTGTCCATGTAGGAATGTCCACTATTCGTTGATAGATGGGACATGGAGTGTCCTGCCAAGCCCATTCCTTCCATATTGCTGGCCAAATGTCCATTCATCATCCCAATCCCACTCTCCAAAGATAAACTGTTTGGAGGGCAAGACAGGCCCCCGCCGCCCCCCTGAAAGTTATAGGACTCGGGTATGTGATTGAACCCCAGCCCGTTCATCATGCTGTACATGGAAGGTTTGAGCGCCTGACATTTGCGCCTGAATCCCCGCGGCCTCCTGCGGAAAGATCCCTCCTCGAACATGAACTCACTGGCTGGGTCGATGGTCCAGTAGTGGCCCTTACCGGGTCTGCCCAGACCCTTTGGCAGCTTGATAAAGCACTCGTTCAGAGACAAATTGTGACGCACCGAATTTTTCCAGCCTTGATACGAGCCTCTGAAAAACGGGAAGCGACTCTGTAGGAACTGATAAATTTCGCTCAGAGTGAGTCGTTTTGTTGGAGAGCTCTGGATGGCCATGACAATGAGAGCGATGTAAGAGTACGGTGGCTTTTCAGGACGACGAATTCCAGCGTTCGTCTTTTTAGTTTTGGTGCTGGAGGAGGAAGAGGAGGTCTCCATCACAGGCATCTGTCCGTGCGGTTTCTCCGACATGGGGCTACTGTGAGCAGGGGTCTGCTGGACCTCAGCCGTCATTATTCACGTCAAAATTCACGTTAAAAAGACTGCGATTTTACGCGGCTTTCATTAATAATGCCGCATTAATAATGCAATGCTGGAATGATCTCTTCTTTCTTTGGTTATGCGTAGTCGCGCACTATCCTTGTAGTATTAACCCACCATAAAACTGGATCCTGCAGGGAAAAAAGATTCTTTCTGCTTATGATCCTGTCTTCTTGTTCTTCCCTTATGGAGTTGGGCTTTTACTTATCTGTTTCCATCAGCTCCTCTCAGGCTCTTGAGTCAGAGTCGCTCAGGGGCCGCCCAGCGTCCCTCCCACTGTCAGCGCTGCTGGGGTGGGCTTCGCCAACATCTGCACAACTAGAACACTATCAAATAAAGCGCGTTTATAGTCTTATTTATTGTAAAATAAAATAGCATATATTCAGTCCACATTAGTAAGGAGACTTTTTTCGAACAATACAAAATTATTTTAAACTTAGCATAATGACACTGCGTTTTGAGTATTTTTATTAGGCCTATATTAATTAAGTATATATGTATTATAAATTAAATTAATGTGTTTTCTACCTTAATTACTTTGCAATTTAAACCATTTGTATATTAATAAATAAAAAATGCGGGGTTTGGGGAAGTTTAGAAGCTGCAAAAAGGCGTATACGATTTTTTTTTTTAAGAAATAAAACCATTTTAAAATCTTTCATTGAATGAAAAGCAAGTCTCTCTCTCTCTCTCTCTCTCTGTCTCTCTCTCTCTCTCTCTTAGATAGGCAGGAACACGAGGAGGATGTTTATACTGCAAAATGTAAACATTTTCCCCTGAGCTTCTTTAAATCAAATATCAAGCAAAAAGCATTTTCAGTGCAGCTAATCCACAAAGCCACGTCACCATTCTGAGTTTTACACGTACATTTAAAGATTTCTGAACTGATTAAGAAAGAATGGTTTGGGGGTCGTATCGGGTTCATGGATACTCGCTTGAAGACCGCAGTCAAGTTGTGTCACTTAATCAAGGCAAGTTCACACGGCACATCTATATTCACTTATGTACCGAGTGAGTTTTTGCTTTGCTGAAGTCAAATCAAACGACTGACTGATTATTGACTAATTGTGATTGTTTTTGGACAAGCGAGTAAAACAAATGCGTCATGTAATGCATATAATAATTGTAACAGTTTGAGAGTGAAGTGCACATAAATTTAGGCTATAGATACGATATCTAACTTGCAACTTGCATAGAACTTTTAATTGTAATTGAATAATTGAAAAAAAAAAACATTTGACTAATCTAAAAAAAAATAATAATAATAATAATATGTTATTATTGACATATCATCATTCAGGAGTAAATCTCTGTTATCAGCTACCCTGAAGGTTTTGGACCATGGTGCTGCTCAAAGCAGGAATGCACATTGATAGAGGTATTGTTTTAAGGCTTGCAAGGGGCCCGTACATTTATCAAGTAGGTATGGACCACCCAGTTTGGTCTCGCCCTCTGCATTTAATTAAGGTTGATGTGTTCATTTGTTATGGGCCTTAAGTTTTAACTACTCTGCTGATGTCTCATGTTCATCTCACATTACCCCTTAAAAATCCAGTATCCACGGAAAATACATCCTCAAATGTGTTTAGAATAGTATTTTTTCCCATCGATGTGTGTAGTAAAGTTAGCAAAAGTTCTTCAACGTCATCGTAAACTCATGTGTGATTGATGCAGCAGTAGCCAGGAGTTCACTCGCTCGTATGTGCAAAGTTGCCATAGGTGTTGTTTTTTTTTTTTTGTTGTTGTTTTTTGTTTTTTGTTTAGCTCGCTCAAACACTGCCAATAACCGAGCTCATACAAATTGATGCATTGTTGAAAACCTAATTTAAGTCAAATATTGTTGTTATTATTAGTATTATTGTTTTATTATTATTAGTAGTAGCAGTAGGCCTAAATATGATTATAATAAACAACAACGATAGCAACAACATCAATAATAATAATAATAATAACTTAGTTAACAGACTAATTCGTTGTCTTGTCTCAGTGTTCACATTTTCCATGACGTCCTCCAATAAAATATTTGACACATTGCCCGTTTGAAATTCATGGCCACTTAAAAAGAGGAAAGCCACATTGTTCGACTAGTCACGTTAGCATGACATAACTCAGTTTTGCAAAAATTCATCATTAGAACACTTGCGTCATAGCTGTAAAGCACGGTTCGCAATATTTATTGTTACATTTTAGAGAATACTTTTTTACAGGAAAACGAATACAGTTAAGGATGTATAAAAAGTACAAAAACATCTAATAAACGCATAAATAAATAACTGTTTTGCTTCTCTTTTAATGTAATTTGTCTGTTTCTGTCTGAATAAAAAGTCACGTTATTGTAGCTATATCTCATTAATGACAAAATTAGAACAATAATTATTAATTAAATATCTCATGTCTACAAAAGAGTTTATGGATATAACCACATACACATCTGTAATGAAACATTAAAATGTGGCCTTTATTCAATTCAATGTGGCCTTTATTCAATTACTTAAATTCAGATTTAAAGACAGCCGTATATGACGTCTATTTTTAACTTTTTTGGCAGGGAAACAGAGAGCTAATTCTGGAGCACGGTGAACTCTGAAGGTTCACTTAACTGCACATGAATTGTTTGAAAGGAAGCGTGACAGATGGATCAGTGAAGAGTTCCACAAGTTCACTCCCGTGTGACACCTTCACAATCGCACTTATGGAAAGTAATATTCTGGGGATCATTGAAGTCAAGTGCAGTGCCCTGAACAATATTTTAGACTATTTCTATAATTATTATATGCAGATGGTTTAAATGAAATTTCTTTCCATTTAAAAAATAAAAACATAAATAAAAATACTGTATATTTTACAGTACTGTAAAATAAATAAATAAAATGTCGACTGTAGACATAGGCTAATCTTATAGGCCTATAGGCCTATGTAAATATAGCTATTGTTACGGCTGCCACGATTTTTTTTCTTTTTCAACTTTAGGCTAGGCCTAGGCCTATATGTAATTTTTTAAAATGCTTTCTCGTAAAATAACTATTCGTGTTTATTTATGTTTTCTTTTTCATTTATGTTTTTCATTTCACTATTATTTCTTTGATGCATCACTTCGAGCGTGCCAAGTCCCATCACTTTCTCAATCCCTTTTGGTGGGTGCGTATATTTTTGTTGAAATTATGTCTATGTGAATAGGAAAGGATAGGAATACACACACATAACAAACAAACAAACAAACGCCGACTGTGTTAATTGATTTAGGCGCAGATTTGCCGCTGTAATCAGCACAATCATGGCAGATGGCTTTTTAATTTACTTGGCGAGAACATGTCGATCGGAGCATTAGATGGAAAGATAGCATCTACAGGTTTGAAGTGTGTCGCTGTATGCGACAACAAAAAAAATGCAAAGAAAAGCAAAAAAGCTCACAGGACTGACTAAGTTATTAATGTTATATTAATATTACTTATTAATAGACCATCAGTCATATTTTGTTGGTTTTCTCTTGTTTTGCATGTTATTTGTATGACAGACTGGCCAAACATTTGTCCGCACATTTTAACGTGTTTCATTGCTTTATCTCAAATAAAATAATTGACGCCGAGCACAACGCAATATGCTTACAAAATCTTAACACGTTTTTTATATGTGATATATCATTATTACATAATATTATTTTATATGCAATCTTGGATATGGGAAAATACAGAGTCCGACTGTTCCCTTTCGTAGTCACTCCGAGTTACGTCAGGAGTGACGGAGAATGGGAGTTTCGCATAGAAAGCCAATCCTCTTCGAGTATTTAATAACGAGCCAATGGCATGAAAATGCCTTGGGGCTGCGGAATTTGCATAGCATAACTCCGCCCCACCCCGTGGGTATAAAAGGAGGAAGTGAACGCAACCGCAGTATGTTTTCGCTTCGGAGCCAAGAGACTTCTTCACTCCCAAAGCCAGTTTCACTGAGTACAACTCTTCGAGACGAGCGTCCTCTTCAGTGTTGGTGTGACGGCGGTACCCAGCGAGATTCTGCATTGCCTGCGATCTGAGCAGTGGTCTGCCAAACTGTGCGTTTCTCCCTGGATGCCTCAGCGCTGAAAGAGTGAATTTCCTCCTCTCCATTGAAAGAGCTGCACGTGGCACGTCTTTTTAAAGACGGTTCGACCGTGTTCTTCTGGGTGCGGTCGATTCATGTCATCTTCTGATGGTCACGATCGCTGCTCTGTGTGTCTGGGCATTTTGCATGCAGTAGCAGCGTTTGTGGATGACTCATGTTCCTTCTGAATAAGGGGAACATGATCGTCTCTACACTGTGATCTAGACTCAATGATCTGATAAAAGTGAGAGTCCCCGTGTCCGCTACTCGTTCTGCTTCTTCTTGATAGAAGCTCTTCGACTCGCGGATAGTGTGATTTGACGGTGACTGTGTGTAACAGACCCCCGACGCTAGCTCCTCGGGCCACACCCACCGCTCCAGTGTCAGAGCCAGCGAGCGCCGGATCGCGGCAGGCATCTGCCTCTTCGCAGGTACCGTCTGTTTCGTTCGGCGCTCCAGAGGATGATCCGATGTCGATCGCAGCATCACTGCGTTGCCTCCCTCGGGAGCGTCAGCGTCGCCGTGTCTGATCCCGAGATGACGGCCATGCTATCTCGGGCCACCGTGAGCATCGGGTGGGAGTGGAACTCCGCCCTGTCCCGATCTCTCGCAGTTGGATAATTGTTTTTTGGGTAAAGCTGCCGCCTCACGGCCACAGCCAACCCCAATTTCCTTTTTCCCCGAGTTGCATGCGGAACTGACACGCACTTGGAGGGCCCCTTCGTCCTCCCGAGAGCACGCTTCAGCTTCCCCGCCTTTCCTCCCCTGGGCGGCCGGTTGCCCGTGGGTACGCTGGGACTCCCCCGGTGGAGCGCTCTGTTGTAATGCTACTGCGTCCGCAGAGTGGGTCCTCCCGCGGTGCTCCCAGGCGCCCACCCAAAGCCTGTGGGTTCTCGTCGTCTATGGCGGCGCGATCCTATAGAGCGGCGGGACAGGCAGCCTCCGCCCTGCACGTGATGAGCACCTGCAAAGCTGCTCAGGGATATGCACGAGGGGGGGAGCAAGCGAGCTGCGAGCTGCCGCCGACCTCGCTCTCAAACGGGCGACGGAAGTGGCCACTCGCTCCCTTGGTCAGGTGATGGCCACCACGGTGGTCCAGGAGTGTCATCTATGGCTC